CTCCAATGGTGGGTGCCATTGGTGAGGATGAAATTGAGGAGTTTAGCATCCTCTTCAGGAGACCAGAACCCTCTCTTAACCTTCAGCTTGTCTCTGCAACAGTAATGTCTCTTTCCCATCTTAGAGAGAGAAAGATAGGAGAGAGAAAGATTGGGGGGGTACCGAAACTGATTAGCTCTCTTAATTAATGCTTAATGACTCTCTCTTCTTCTTCTCTGCTTAATATAGGAGATCTGAGCCCGTCCTTTCATGAACATCTGTCACTGAATATTCACTGAACCTGTACATGTGTCTCTCTGCAAGCTGGCTCGGGGGCATAGATCATGTTTTCTTTCTAATTAATTTTTTTCTCCTTAACCTTTTCAGGTTAATTAATTTCCTTTCTTTTTTTCATTTTTTTTTCAGATGTGGTTATTTCTTTGTAGATTATGAGTGACATCTAGTAATTATTCTGCCTGCATACCGCCTGAGTTTAAGATTGGCTTCCATATCTTGTGCCATTAAGAATGTTAATTTGAGCTAATTAAAAATCGCATCTTAAACTATTAAAATTAATTAGTGATTCTTTCTGAATAAGCTTGATCTGCTTCTTGGATCCTCCTAAGTACGTAGATATTCACTAACGAAGAACCAATCTGTGAGTAAGCAACTTAGGGGGGGAAAGATTAAACAAAATTATCTCATAAGATTACAGTTTTCACTGAGCATCTGTACTACAACCAATGACCAATTTATGAATTTCAAGGATCGGTCAAATTGTCTTATAGTGCTACTACATCGCAATTAATGGGAAAAAAATGAAAACGAAAAGAATAGGAATTTAGATAAATAGACCTAGCAATCCCATTGCAACTGTTCCATTGAACTCCCATTGCTGAACATCCCGCAAGGCATCAATGCTGAATCCATCAATTCAAGATCAAACGCGGAGCTACTATATGACATCTCCTCATTAATCTCATGGGCTTGTACTTGTACTTGTTCTTGCCCCTTCAATCCTTCTTCAAGCCCATTTCCTTTAGGGCCTTCAATAGTCCCAACTGCATTTCCAGCCCAAATGCAAGCCTCATCCATAAACTCGGAATGATTGAAATTTGGTGATATGTTTGCATGCCCCAAAGGAGAAGAAGAACAATTAGTATAATCGATCAAATTGCATAGATCTTGATCTTTGAAGCTCATTAACACGTTTGGGTCTTGATATTGGAAGCTAGAGCTAGGAATAGTATCATTCAACCCGATACTAGTAGATTGCGGCAGTGTCACAACTGTTGGGCTATTAATAATCTGATCCATAGAGCTAGTCTTCTCAAAGTTCTTGATATTGGAAGTAGTACTAATGGTGAAGGGAATTGTGGTAGAAGACTTTGATTGATGAAACTGAGAGAAATTAGTAACATTATTGCTGCTATTATTAGAGGCACGAGAGGGCGCTGAAGGCATTAAATTGTGGGTTTTTGGATCAAGACCCTGAGCAATGAGCTTCTTCTTGATGCAAGAGTTCCAAAAGTTCTTCACCTCATTGTCTGTTCTTCCAGGGAGATGCTTGGCTATTTGAGCCCACCTGAAAATTTTGAACTTCAATTGGAGGAAACTGATGGTTATGTATATAACTAGGGTTAGGGTTAGGGTTTTGGTTTCTTTTTGTTACCTGTTTCCTAAAATCCTGTGAACATCTATTATGATTCTTTCTTCATGAGCTGAAAAGGTTCCTCTCTTTAGATCAGGCCTTAAATAATTGATCCACCTTAGTCTGCAACTCTTTCCACATCTTTGTAACCCTAAAAATCAATTATTAAGAAATAAGCAGCTAGAGAGAGAGAGAGACGTGAAAGCTTTAGAGAGAGAAAGAGATCAGATACCTGCAAGCTTAGGGACAGAGCTCCAACATCCATGCCCATGAGCTGTGATATATTTCATGAGCTTCTCATCTTCTTCAGGGGACCAGAGCCCTCTCTTGACCTTCTGCTTGCTGCAACAATGATGACCCATGATTTGTTTTGCAGCTTACACCCAAATTCAATGACTCATCCCTCACTCATAGATATATAGCTCATCTTAGTAAGATATACAAATTGGATGCAAATGTACTAGTGTATAAAGAATGATGATTGAAGGGCTTAGACTACTTCGAACAATTAATAAAAAATTAACGTGAGGAAATAAATATATCTTGGTTTGCACTACTCTTCAAGGACGCAACCCTAATGAGTACCTAGATTGGATTGCAGCTAGACATGGATTTTTTTTCTCTTTTGCCACTGTGGAAAGGCTTGATCACTTGAGTTTCTTATTCATCACATGCTATTATTATATAGTAATTCCCAGAGAAAAGAAAGAAGACTCTTCAAGAAGAAGCATGCATGCTTGTAGCATAAGATGGGTAAGTAGAGCATTCATTTTTTGAAAGGAAGATGAATTTTGTCGGTGTCAAATGTTGTGTCGGTGTGGTTATGATGTATACATGATATGGATATATGATTTATACATGATATCGATATCGATATCCAAAGATATGGAGAGTCATGCATTAATAACTAGTATGTACAACTTTGCTCGTGGTTAATGTAAGATGTTTTTCAAAAAAAATTGATTTTGTTATCTTAGGATGACTCTTTGTTGGTGACAATAATTACTATCAAAGTACCCTACCAGTACACTATAACTCCAAAATCATAGTGAGAGCGATAGTTTTATATTCTAACAAGCCCCAGAAGCACAGACATACTTTTATACATAAAAACATTGACTCACATAGACATATTACGTTTTCTTCTAAAATCCGTTTTAAATTCATGACCAATAAGAATTGAACCTGAGTTGCTCAGGTACCATCTTAAAGTCCTTGTAACCACATCAAAACTCTGAAGTTATGTGAGAGTTATAATTTTATATTTTAATCATTACTTTCCACAAGTTTCAAAACTTGAATCTTATTTGTTTACTTTTCAGAGTCACACTCATAGTTTCTTGATTATCCTTTTCTCCGAATTGTTTCTATGTATCAACACGGTTCCACCTTGAGTTTGTCTAGGATTTTTGTTCCATGGACGTGATTAGACCTTGCTTGATAAACCTCCTAT